TACATTGTGTATGCCATCAAATGTCAGCAGCGCCCTTCAGCTCTCTATATTGGACGAACAGGCCAAACCCTACGCCAAAGGATAAATGGACATAAATCTGACATCAGGAATCACAAGACAGAGAAGCCAGTAGGAGAACACTTCAGTCTCCCAGGACATTCAATACAGGATCTCAAAGCAGCTCTCCTATTACAAAATAAAGAGACTTGAAAGAGAAGTTGCTGAATTGCAACTTATCACTAAACTGAAAACTATGGAGAGACCTGGTCTGAATAGAGATATTGGATTCCTGTCTCATTACATATGCTAATCATCTGCATACTATCCCTGGCTTTTTCCTGTAGGACTAATTGCAGTCATTAACGGGTTTACCATACCCATTGAGTCAATCATCCATCTCCTACTACCCTCCGGAGAAAAACCCCACCCCACCCTCCCACTATATATAAGGGTCTGGTGACTTCTGTTTCAGTGTATCTGAAGAAGTATGCATGCACACAAAAGAAGTATGCATGCACACATGCTTATACCAAGAACAAACTTAATTGATCTCTAAGGTGCTACTGGACAATTTAATTTATATATTTTTTTTTCAATTGCTACAAGTGTTCCATCAGGGGTCCTATATCATCAGATTTCCTGCATTAGCAGGGGGTGGTCAAGGGAGTGGCTGGATCTCCTCAGCCACACCCAACTCTGGGTGCAAGGGTGCTTGCAATCACTGGAGATAAGGCTAGGAGTTATTCTTCTTTGGATCAAAGATTAGGCACCTTGGTGGAGGAAACTTAGAGCTGATTATCTACAACTGAGGTATTGTCTAGCACAGGGATGGGGGATCTGTGGGCCCCAGACGTTGTTGGACTACAATTCCCATCATCCCTGACCATTGGCCATGAGGTTATCTGACCAGTTAATTTTAGAGCTGCACAAAGTGTCTATGGGGATGACAAACTTGTGATTGTTATGACCGGCCCCAATAAACTAATGAATCCAGATGGATCTCTGAATTCCCTGCTGTGGGTTGGTGGTGGTGGAGAGTTTCCTACAGATTCAGCCAGAACTCCTGGTCTCCATTTGGAATGAGGGAATGTCTTGGGTCATAGACGCAATTGCTCCCAAATGGCCGTGGACTAATTTTAAAGCCAGTTTGGAACCGTGATTATACAGGAATATTATTCTTGGTATTAGTAATATTGGGCTTCTTTCACACTTGTAGTTTTTTATTGCTGCAAGTTGCTTTGAATGGACTTCGCTTGGAAATGTGGTGGGCTAGAAGCTCCCCCTTTCTAGGTTTAGCACCCTATTCAAGTTCACATGCTTGCCAGCCCCATTCAAATCCTTGCATGGGTCTACAGATGGGTTTGCAATCTAGCCAGGTCCTGTGGCAGCACCAGTTGTATGAACTAGCCCATCTACACACATGGTTCCACACATCTTATGGAATCCTAGTGCCCCCCCCTTTTAAGCATTGAGGCTGCCAAGTACATATGGAGGAATCTGTCAATTTTGCATTCTTGCTTTTCATATATTAAGTTCGTTTCTCCACATTTCAGCGGTATGTGATTTCTTTTTAAGGACTCATGAACATTCTTCAGCTTTTCAGTGCAAATTTATCTGAATATGCACATTTTTTAATGCAGTGCCCATTTCCACAAGCAAAAGCACATTTTTGTATGCCATTTTTCACTAATATGTGCATTTTGGGGCACACTGTGCACATTATTTAGAGAACTGCATAGCAGAATTTTGAGAAGTACGGATTTCGAAGAATAACTGTGTTTTGGTTTGCCTAAAGGTAAAGAAACCCCTGACCATTAGGTCCAGTCGTGGACGACTCTGGGGTTGCGGCGCTCATCTCGCTTTATTGGCCCAGGGAGCTGGCGTACAGCTTCTGGGTCATGTGGCCAGCATGACTAAGCCGCTTCTGGCAAATCAGAGCAGCGCACAGAAACACCGTTTACCTTCCTGCCAGAGTGGTACCTGTTTATCTACTTGCACTCTGATGTGCTTTCGAACTGCTAGGTTGGCAGGAGCAGGGACCGGGCAATGGGAGCTCACCCTGTCGCGGTGATTTGAACCGCTGACCTTCTGATCGGCAAGCCCTAGGCTCTGTGGTTTAGACCACAGCGCCACCTGTTTTGCCTATTGGTCCATAAAGTACAAAATAGGTAGGTTTGCATTGAAATGCAAACTGAGCCATTCTTACTGGCGAGAGTCTGAATTCTCAGCTTCTCTCCTAACCCAACAGAGGAAGAGCAGTTGCAGTAATGATCCCTCCAGTCAGTATCCTGTAGAGGTCCCCTGCAGCTGATGCAGAACAGAGCCAGATGCCAGTGTGGACGTGCACAAAAAAGAGACAGGAGCTAAAGCCTTTGTGATTTTCATTGCAGCACAACTAGAAATCCAATTCCATTTGATGTTCTTTAAAAAACAAAAAACAAAAATCTCCCCCAAGCTGTTTGCTCAGATTATTTAGTGGCCACCCAGCTGTGAGAATTGGCTTTTTTTTTTCCTTCCCCCTCTCACATTCTGACCTCATCTGAGCTTGGAATGAATCCAAAGAGCCAGTGCTGTGGCTGACAGCATCCTCTGTCAGAAACAAAAGAGGTCAAATTATTAAAAGAAAGTAAGAAAGGGGCGCTCTTCACATCCAAATAGAGAAAACAGATGTGCGGTGACTTTTCTCGGTGCTCTTTCCAGCAGCAGCCCTGTACGTTAGGAGAAGGCGCATTAGGCGGATATGTTATAAATATGTACATTCATCACCATGGCAAAAGATCTCGTGGCGGCTATTAATTTTAGGGGTGGAATACAAGGTCTCTTTCAGTGCCTACCGGATTCGGGTGCCAACGGGCCATGTGGTAGCAAGGCTCGCTTTAAACACTTCTTGCAGGCAGAACTTTGGAGCTACTGTGGGACAAGGCACGCAGTGAGGAGCTCCTTTGACTCTTCAACCTGACGCAATTTCAGCCGGCAGATTACTTTTGCCGCGAGATGTGCTGCCGCGAGCTGTGTTTCTGGGGGACGGGGAAATGAGGTTTGTGATGAGTTGGGAATAAGCAGCACTCTTTCGCTAGACCCGTGATGGGGTGATGGTAAGTGACTCTCTTCATGCCACCCTCTAACTATAAATGTAGCTAGCAAAATGTTCACCATTAATTAGGGTAGGGAGGGAATGTACTGATGGAGAGATTTTATATTGCAAGGGCTCCTCTGAAGATGCAATGTGCAAAGCCAGTCCTATCATTAGGTAGTGCTTGGGCAGAAGATGGTGTTTCAAACTGTTTTTGAATTTTTGGAACAGCAGTGCTGTTTCCATTCATTTGAATGAATGAATGAATGAATGAATGAAAAAACACCCTGTAACAAATAAAGTTACAAAACACCACTCTTTTTCAAATATATTCTTGAAAGTATTGTCATGCGTGGGGGGAGGTTATTCTGAATGCTTGGGCCCTCTTCTAATTCTTGGAATAGCCAGGCTAGCTTCTTTGTGAGGTAATAGCCTGGGTGATGGGCCATTAAGGGAACGAAGGAAAGGGCTCTGTGCAAGATCACCTCCTGGCAAATAGAAGGGGAAGAAATGGAGGCAGTGAGAGATTTTACTTTCTTGGGCTCCATGATCACTGCAGATGGTGACAGCAGTCACAAAATTAAAAGATGCCTGCTTCTTTGGAGAAAAGCAATGACAGACCTTGACAGCATCTTAAAAAGCAGAGACATCACCTTGCCAACAAAGGCCCGTATAGTTAAAGCTATGGTTTTACCAGTAGTTATTTATGGAAGTGAGAACTGGACCATAAAGAAGGCTGATCGCCAAAGAATTGATGTTTTTGAATTCTGGTGCTGGAGGAGACTCTTGAGAGTCCCATGGACTGCAAGAAGATCAAACCTCTCCATTCTGAAGGAAATCAGCCCTGAGTGCTCACTGGAAGGACAGATCCTGAAGCTGAGGCTCCAATACTTTGGCCACCTCATGAGAAGAGAAGACTCCCTGGAAAAGACCCTGATGTTAGGAAAGATGGCGGGCACAAGGAGAAGGGGACGACAGAGGACGAGATGGTTGGACAGTGTTTTTGAAGCTACCAGCATGAGTTTGACCAAATTGCGGGAGGCAGTGGAAGACAGGAGTGCCTGGCAGGCTCTGGTCCATGGGGTCACGAAGAGTTGGACATGACTAAACAACAACAACAACAACAACATGGAGTTATTCCACCATGGAGCCATCTGAAGGCAGCCCTGTGTAGGGAAGTTTTTAAATGTTTTATTATGTTTTTTATATATGTTGGAAGCTTCCCAGAGTGGCTGGGGGCAACCCAGTCAGATGGGCGGGGGTATAAAGAGTAAAATTATTATTATTTGCATTATTATTATTAATTATTATTGATTGGACGCCCGTGTTTGCACCAGAGAAATGCTGGAGGGTATGCCCTTTTAAATGTTTTATTATGTTTTATATATATGTTGGAAGCCACCCAGAGTGGCCGGGGACAACCCATTCAGATGGGCGGGGGTATAAAGAGAATAATAATAATAATAATAATAATAATAATAATAATAATAATAATAATAATTGATTGGACGCCCCTGTTTGCATCAGAGAAATGCTGGAGGGTATGTCCTTCCCACCACCCGGCGAGAAAGGAACTTTCCCCGGGCGGAAAGTTGCAGTTTCCGCGCGCTAGGACCTGGCAATCGCCGCGCGGCGGCGATGTGCGACTTCCCTGCTGGAGCGTGTGGGTTGGCGGCGGCGGAGCGGGTAGAATTACGCTGGCAATCCCAGCCCCTTGGCCGCCTTTCCAAGGGACCGCTCTTGCTTGGCGAAGGAAAAGAAGGAAGATCTGCCCAGAGAGAGAGAGAGACGGAGAAAGCGAGAAGCAGACAAGAGAGCGCGCTCGGCGGGGCGAATACATGGGCCAACATTAGGACCCAGAGAAGCCGGCGATGATTTGGGCAGTAGGTAAAAAAGCTCCGCTGACATTCCTGGCATTCCGGCGCGGGGAAATAGGGGCTGTTTGGAGTATTTCGTGCGTGTTTGTTTGCTGCTTTTTCGGAGCGCCTGCAAACGGCGCTTTGCGAGGACGCAGCCTGTCATTTGCGCGCTTGGGGAGGGGGGGGAGAGACACCCCTCCTCTCCCCATTGCTTCTCTCCTCTCCTCCCCTTCCTTCTCTTTTCTTTTTCCTGGGCTGGGCTGGAAGTGGGAAGCTGAGCCGCGCTCGCTTCGCGGGGTCTCTTGCGGGGAAACTTCGGAGCCAAAGAGGTAACGACGGAACTGTGCGCGGTGCGGGAGAGAGAGAGAGAGAGAGAGAGAGAGAGAGAGAGGAAAAGCCCGGGGCAGCCACCGCGTCATCCTCTGCAGGGATGATGGAGAGGGGAAAGTGCGGAGTTGCCTGCCAATTTTAGGACTCCCCACCCCCCCTCCACTCCCTAGGCATGGATGTTCATAGCGATCTGGAAAGCCAGAGGGGCTAGTTGTACTCTGGGAAACTTTTTGGACATATGGTAGGAAAGCTTTTCGTTTAGCTTATTTTTAAGTTGTTGACCCGCGAAGAGGGCCGGGGGAAAGTCCTGATTTCTGTAAAGTTGAATCCGGGCTGCTCCATAGTTCAGCTGACTGCATTGAAAAAAGTAGAGCACGGAGAGAGAGAGAGAGAGAGAGCATGAGCAGAGCAGAGGAGCTGCCTCTAATTTAAAAGTAAATAGTAATTATTTGTATCCTGCTTGGGGAGCTTTTCGATCAAGTGCCCTGTAAATATCCTGCATAAAATAAAGAGCTGATTTCGAGAAGCGTGATATTTTCCTACAGCAGAGCAGGGGTGCGTGTACATGCCAGGAGGAAAATAGCAAGAAGGAAGGACATATAGTGCATTGAGAGTGTTCTTGAAAAAGCAGGGCATAGCGTTGCCAGGCTGTTTTTCATTGCTTGACAGGAGGCTGCTGTAGCATTGGGAGGCTGCTTTAGCTTTCCCCCTCGGTGACAGCGCATATCAATGTGTGGTTTCCAAAATAGGTCTGTCATATGGTGGGGTTTTGCTCTGCCTTTAGGGAGATGATCCATCATTGCCAGGTTTAGCGCTCTTTTGAGGCTCAAGAAAAGCTGGTGGCTTGTCAGATTGGAGGGTTGGGGGAATCCAAGGTCAGGTGGTTGCCACCTTTTGTTTCTCTGGAGACGCTCTTGGCCCCCAAAGAGGTTTCCAACAAGCAGGCATCCGTCCACACTGCAGAAGCGTTTTCCATGTTTGTGCCTCCACGGTTGGGATTTGCTTGGGCACCCTATCTTGTCTGTCTGTCTGTCTGTTAAAAAAAGTTGGCAACCCTTTCCAAGGGACGCAGTTATAAATGTATGACTGTGTGGCGTGCCTGGTTTCTGAAACGAACCATGTCGGGGATCCACAAGCCTGAAAAGAACCTGTGAATGCTACTGAATGAGGCCAAGGCCCATCTAGTCCACTTCCTGTCTTCGCAGTCTCCAACTAGATGTCTGTGGGAAGCTTCAAAGCAGGACCTGAGTCTTGCACCATCTTTTCTAGAAGCTCTTCTTTGCGACTGTGGAGGCTGGGTGTGCTTGCTCAGTTATGAGAAAAACCTGGAGGCGCCTTTGATTCAGTGGGAAAGATCTATCCCTCGCATGCAGACCTTCCTAGACTTGCCAATCAGAAGGTCAGCAGTTCGAATCCCCACGACGGGGTGAGTTCCCGTTGCTCGGTCCCAGGTCCTGCCAACCTAGCAGTTCGAAAGCACGTCAAAGTGCAAGTAGATAAATAGGTACCACTCCGGCAGGAAGGTAAACGGTGTTTCTGTGCACTGCTCTGGTTTGCCAGAAGCGGCTTAGTCATGCTGGCCACATGACCCGGAAGCTGTATGCCGGCTCCCTCGACCAATAAAGCAAGATGAGCGCCGCAACCCCAGAGTCATTCACAACTGGACCTAATGGTCCGTTTACCTTTAGTTTAAAAAGGAGTTCAGTTGGCAGATCTGGGAAATACCTGGGGATGGGAGGGGGAGTATTGCAGGATCCATAGCTCTGTGGCAGAGCACTTGCTTGGCTTGCAGAAGTTCCCAGGTTCGATCCTGGGCATCTCCACTTATAAAACAACCAGGTACAAGTCGGTGGCGGGGAAAGACCCTCTACCTGAAACCATATAGAGGTCCTGCTGGGCAGAGTAGAAAAAAATTACTAGCCTAGATAGATCAATAGTCTGATCTAACACTAAGCCTCCTCATAGGTCTGAGACACATGCATTCACATCGCACTGCAAATGCTGCTGTGTTTGCAACAGCTGAGGAGTCTCAACTACAAAACTGGCTGCGGTGGAACTTTGGCACCTAAAATCCTAAAACACCTGTGACCCAAATTCTCTGCAAGCATGCCATCTTCCATGCTGACCTACTCCTGGCCTTAAGATCAATAGATGATGCCCTCTTGGTAATTCCTGTACGGGATGAAGCGTGTGGTGTTGAGGGTTCAGGAGAAAGCCTTTTGTATTGAGGTGCACCCGGCCTCAACCCTAATATAACTTTAGGCGATTGGTTAAGGTGCACTTTTTTGGGTGGCCGGGTGGAGGAGGAGAGACCTAACTGGATAAATTAATCGATTTGCTGCTGCTGCTATTAGCAAATGGTTGTTGATTTGTTATGTATTTGAGGGTTGTGTTATTTTGTGGATGTTACACTTAGTTTTTATCTTGTCTAGTTTTGTTGTAAACTGCCCTATGGCTCATAACAAGGGTAGTATATAAACACTCCAAATAAATATTCTGATGCCCCAATACTGGCAAGAAGTTTAAAAAGATAAACTTCTTTCTGAGCCTGTACAATTCCGGCAAGGAAGCAACTCTGCCTGTAGGGTGGTATGTGATTCTACCAGTTCCGTTGACTTGTTTGTTTTTAGTGTATGAAGAGAGCAGGAAATATTTCCAATACCGCATAGTTTTCAGTCAACAAACATTGCTACAAAAATTAAACATGTCTTTTGTGTGGACTGGTCTCAAAATGATATCATAATCTTCTCCATATTGCAGCAGTGTGTGTGTGTGTGTGTGTGTGTGTGTGTGTGTGTGTGTGTGTCAGTCATTTGGTTAATTTCCAAAACATATTGACAGCTGAGATAAAAAAAACAGCTCTTGGACAAGGTTTGTACATTGTACCATCCATGACACTGTGCTCCTCCAACCACTGATTCTGTAGAAGAGCCCGTTGGTAGACCAAGTTGGTATAGTGGCTAGATCAGTCTCCTCCAACCTCATGCCCTGCAGATTATGTCAGTCTCCTGCTCCCATCAGCCCCTGACAGCATGGCTCATGGTGAGGAATGCTGGGAGTTATGGTCCAGCAACATCTGAAAAGCACCAGGTTGTGGGGGTGGGATTGGGTTAGAGCATAGGACTTTGGCCTGAGTCCAAATCTCTAGTTAGCAGCAAAGATTACTGGGTGGCCTTCCTTGGCCAGTCACTATCACTCACTATCATAGGGTTGCTGTAAGGAAGAGGACCTGTGCTCCCTGGAGGAAATGGAGACTATAACCCAGCCTTTTATTTAACATCTTGCCTGATATACAATGGCTGTGACCAGGCTGGGATAGCAAAGTTGGTAGAGCATGATAATAATAATAGTAATAATAATTTATTATTTATGCCCCTGCCCATTTGGCTGGGTTTCCCCTGCCACTCTTAATCTCCGGGTTATGGGTTCAAGCCCCATGTGGGGCAAAAGACTCCTGTATTGCAGGGGATTGGACAAAATAACCCTTGGGGTCCTTTCAAATTTGACAGTTCTACGAATCCAGGATTGATTAGGTGTGTGCGCGCATGGGAGAGAGGCTGGGGACAGGGATCAGTTTTCTGAGCATACATCCTGGTTTGCTTGCACAAAACTTACACAGCGCCTAGTCTTTATTGAGTCCTTATTCTGATTTGTTTGTGGTGAGGTTACACAACAATGCTAGTTTATTCTGATTTCATCCTTCCTGTTAATCATTGATTCCACACTTTTCAGTGCATTTCACAATCACCACTGAAAATAAACGAATATCGGGCCTTGTTGCACCAGAGCGATAGAGCCCCTTAATTCACTTCAGCTGTGTAAACTTAAATTTCTGGTGTGGAATTGAATCCCTCCGCCTCTGGAGTCAACTTGAGCGAGAGAGAAACAGAGACATAATAGCAGCAAAGAGCAGGGTCTTTATATCAGTAGCTCCAAGGCTGTGGAACGAACTTCCCTTTGTATGTTATAGCTCTCCCTCTCTATTGACTTTCCAGCAAGGGTGCAAAATAAAGTTTCCGGTCATTTGGCCTCCAGTACAGTACGGGACGTGGGTGGCGCTGTGAGTTAAACCACAGAGCCTAGGACTTGCCAATCAGAAGGTTGGTGGTTCGAATCCCCGCGATGGAGTGAGCTCCCGTTGCTCAGTCCCTGCTCCTGCCAACCTAGCAGTTCAAAAGCACGTCAAAGTGCAAGTAGATAAATAGGTACCGCTCTGGCGGGAAGGTAAACAGCGTTTCCGTGCGTTGCTCTGCTTCGCCTTAGTCATGCTGGCCACATGACCCGGAAGCTGTACGCCGGCTCCCTCAGCCAATAAAGCAAGATGAGCACTGCAACCCCAGAGTCGGTCACGACTGGACCTAATGGTCAGGGGTCCCTTTACCTTTACCTTTACTTTTACCTTTACAGCTAGCTAGCTAGCTAGCTTGGTTGGTTGGTGCTGTTTCTGTTGTTCCCTGTCTACAGGTTTTGTTTCTTTTGTTTTTAGGCGTGGGGAGTAATTAGGATGTTTTTGTACACTGAGTTTGTGTGAAGGTGGCTAACAGGTTATTCTGAATAAATAATAATACAATCAGATCGTATTGTTTATCCTAACAACAGGGCATCTGGCTCCATGTGGTTTCTGTGAATTCAGTTAAGTTTATTTACTTAGGCAGTTTTGTTATTTCCAAATAAATAAAATTAAGAGGGGCAGGGGAGTGTACAGGAATTGTATATCGCAAACCAGTTCATTAATTAAAAACATATAGCACTGTGCTCAGTTTAAAAATGAAATTTATAGTATGTGCTGGCCCTCTGTAATGAGATTCCTGCATTGCTGGGGTTGGTCTAGATGACCCTCTGGTAACTTTTCAACTCTATGCTTCTACCATACTGGCATTTCTGCTTTTACACCGTTATTATCCCTACAACTCAGACTGCTGTATGTACCCTAAATCTCTCCTGCATCTAGCCAACTAACCTCCAAATTCTGCAAAATTTTGTTATTCAGCAAGCAGAA